GCATTCCTGTGGTACCAGAAGTATAGATATAAAAGAGTCGATCTAGAAGAGCGGAGAGAGGAGTCAGGTGCCACATAGACTATTCTCAACTACCTACGGGAGAAAAAACCCCACAGGGCTGGTATTTTGGGCTTTGAAACGGGTATTTTGGGCTTTGAAATGGTGACAACACAGCAGATAAGCTGCTAAAGCTGGCACAAAAGTCCTATAGGAGCCTCTGCTGCTCAATATCAATTGTAATGGTAATTATAGAAACCTGTGCAACTGGTTTGCCAAGCCCTGTTGACAGGAATTTTCTCTCTTCTTGCAGTTTGCCCTGGAATTAGATTAACTCTGCAGGTCAGGCATTAATGGGAGATCACACTGGAAGACAGATCTCAAACTGTGCCTGAGAGTAGGGCAGGAATTGTGAGATTCTAGAGCAAAAAAAAGATAACGTAAAGGAAGGGAAAACACAAGCCTCGTGGAACATCATTCCTCCTTCAGTACTGAGTTAATTTAATTTATCTTTGCTTTTTTGGGGGGTGGGGAAGTTGTTTAAGTGTCGCCTAGTTCAGTTCTTATTCGTGTCACATTGAAAAGTAAAAAACATTGAACAAAAAATTACCGTCTAAACCTTTGACTGGAACCTGACTTGGAGGCAGTTTTGATGCAGTGTTCAGAAGAGGATCGAGGTGTCTGGTCTCCACAGGAACAACATCTGGGTTGTAGTCACCAGAGCAGAATTTGGCCATGTTCTTCCCCAGCATCCCGTTCACTTCAGATATTGCTGCAATACAAAGCAAGTTTCGTTTGCAGCAAGTGTAGCACTAATCAATAGCAAAAAAAAATAACTGTAAGGGTAAAAAATGAACTGTTTGGAGTCCTAGCAGCATCACTGTAATGGAAAGACCTGGAAAAACAACTATTTTACAGTATTTATGTCATATCTGTTCAGATAATAGCACTGCAGTCACTGTCCCATTACACCCACCATGCCTTCATCGTCCAATGATCTAGAAGAATTTCAATGAGATTATGTGAAATATTAAATTATCAGATCTAAAAATAATCATTGGAAGAAAAATTGATTAGCAAAGCAGAGAAGTACTTAAAAACAGCACCCATGGATAAACCTATGATACAGCAGATAAAGTGTGACATTAAGCAAAGATCATCAACCTTCAGAGAGAAACATAAGTGAGTTTAGTGGCACATTTCACCATATTTATGCTATAATACAAAATTCCCGATGCAGCTCTTCTAGATCCAAGAAAGCTAGAGCAAACTAATGAGTTCAGTTTGTGCCCGCTGGCAGCAGAAAGACAGCAGCAAATGAAACCAGCTCTGCTCACAGGACTGCTCCTCCTTTCGTCCAAAATATTAACTGCACACTTCTGTATTTTTAAGGTTTTAGCAGATTTACCATCTTCCTATAGTTCCTAGTTAATACGGCCAGATGCGGCCATGGATCTTTTTGGTTTTAGTGCATTTGATCTCTGCATTAAACAGGGTTCAGCCTTCTCCAGGATCAAGAATCCAGTTACAAAGTGCTCCCTCGATCCTCAGGATCAAGGATTCTTGAGGATCAAGGATCCTGAGGAGCAAGGGAACAGTTTGTAAATGGATTCTTGATGTGCACCAAGAGCCAAGGGACTCACCTGAAGCCAGTTCTCCTCCAAAGATGACAGCTTTTGCGCCCGAGGTTGTCACACAGTAAACCAGAGAATCCAAGCGCAAATTAAAGTTAATAAGAGCTGCTTCGATGCCAACTTTCGCCATCCCAAGCCAGAGGCCCACAAACTCGGGGCGGCTCTCCATGAAGATGGCAATGACGTCCCCCAAACGGAAGCCTTGCTGGTAGAAGTAGTTGGCCACGGCGTTGGAGTACTCGTCCAGCCACCTGAAAGTCCATTTCTCACCGGTGGCCTCGTAAATCAGAGCCAGCTTGTCGGGGTGCCTGCGGACGACGTCCCGGAACATCTTGGGAATTGTGTTTTTGGCTTTTTGATGCCTCCGCAGATTGTACTTGACTCGTAGCAGCACTGAGAGGCCACTGCAGCAAAGAGAGAGAAGCAGCAAAATCCAGCAAAAAAAAAGGTGAAGGTCTCAAAGGCAGTTTGTCCCCAGCAAAACTTACTGCTCACACCAAAACGTTTTGATTCCAACTTCTACACACACAGAAAAAGCTCTCTGGAACATTCCCTGTTTTATACAGAGGGCCAATGAGCTTGTCACTTTTTGTTATTTTCCAAAAATTATCCTTTTATATTGCAATGCTGTCCCTATGCCCTCTTTGTTTAATGATGTTTCTGGATAACTGCTCATAGAAGCGGCCACATCAGGAAGGGAACTGGAGGGTTTTCTGTTTTCTGTGATTTATGTAACTCTTTTAAGCCTGTTGGGCAGAAGCTGCAAGTTAAACCTGGACAAAGTTGGAGCTTTATGGCAGTTAAAAAAGCCTCTGTCCCACTTTTATTGTTATGGTTCTCCTGGTGAATATTATCTTTAGAGACACACTGGCTTTCTTGATGAGCAATATTCTGCTATTTTAAGTTAGAACTGATATCCCAAAGTGCAATTCCATTAGCTCAACATCAAAAAGGGAATGGCAGCTTTGGGTGCCTTCTTGGGCGTAGGAAGACAGAGACTGTTTTTCCACCATCAAATAGGAAACTCTTGTGCAACAACAGCTTGAAAGAACCCCCAGAAACTTGCAAGGTCGTTAGTTTTAGCCCTAAAATCCCCCGCAAGCGTCACGAGTGAATGCGAATGGCAGCAGCGGAGCCCAGGGAAGGGGACGAGGGGACATCCCAGCAACGAGTTGCTGGCACTTGCCGGGCCGAGCCGGGCTTTCACGGTGCCCTTGCGCTAAGCGGTGCCAAATGCAGAACAGAGGAGCCTTTTCACTGCTCGGCGGCCCCTTCCAGATACTTAAGGGGCTCCATTCTGCCCGGTTCATTTTCTGCCATTCTTCTGTGCTCGCCAGGCAGTTCGGGAGGAAACGGCTCTTCAAAGCCCCCTGACAGCCACGGGGAAGCCAGGCCGCGGCTGGCAGCCCCCAAAGCCCTAAATCCTTCGGAAGAGAAAGGATCTGCTCAGAAAGGCCTTGGAAAACACGGAACTAGGCGAGAGAGCCGCGACGGGCTCCCGGGAGATGGGGACGGCCCCGAGGCTGACAAGCACACGGGTCATAAATGAGCGTGGAATGAGCCTGGAATGATGATAACGATGAACCTGGAAGGACGAACCTGAAACGATCATCAATTAACCTAATTGTTCATAAATGAACCTAAATAACCATAATGAACAGGCTGCCAAGAGAGGTGGTGGAGTCTCCTTCTCCGGAGATCTTCGAAACCCGCTTGGATGCCACCAGGGCTCCAGGTGACCCTGCGTGTGCAGGGGGGTTGGACTGGATGATCCCTAAAGGTCCCTTCCTTAAGGAAGGACCTTAAGGATTCTACGACCTGCGATCGCTTGGGGGCCTGGGGGCCACGGGCCAAGGGGACACGCGCGAGGGGGAAGGCGGCAGCGGGGGGCACGGGTCGCTACTCACAAAAGGTCCCTCAGGGCCGTCTTGAAGACGACGCGCAGGAGCCGCCAGCCGCCGCCGCCGATGCAGACGGCCAGCGA